GGCGCCGTGCGAGCCCCGTGCACACTCCACGGCAGGCGAGTGCGAGGAAGCGACGGTCCCCGGGCTCGGCGGCCAACTCTTCCCGCGCAGTCCCACCCCCGCGCCGCGCCCAGCCCCGCTGCTAGCTCAAATCAACCGCGGCCGGGGGAGGGGCCGGGACATGTCCTGGAGGAGAGCCGCTCGCTGTTCCGGGAACTGTTCCTTCGCAGCCCCGCACTGGCGCACCGCTAGGGAGCCCCGCAGGGATGTCCCTGCTTCTCCAGCTTGGTGGCTGCTTCCGCACATTTGCCTCGGAACGGAGCCGCGCCACGTGGATCGCTCCCCAGTCCAGCCAGGGAGGAACAGAGTGACTCCCTGCAGAGCAGGCGGAGAGGGCAGCCCCAGCAGACGGAAACGTGTGTTACGGATGTGGAAGGGAACCCTCCGACACCGATGCTGTTACTGAAGAGCAGACTAAAGCTCCCAGTCAGACGAAGGAGGTGTGCGGTTTTGTGGTCAAGGGGAAGAAGTGGTCTAAGTGGCCTGACAGGGTGGTGTGATTGATCCGGAGTGTGGGGGAAAAAATAAACTACCCTCTTTCCTTTCCCCGCCCCCAGAAAAAGGGTTGTAGGTCACTTAGCTAAGGAGTATTGTTATAGTGAGACACTTACTATCTTTCATTGGACCCATGAAAGATAAAGCTTCAGAGGGTAGACTAGTTAGTCTGTACAGGATAAACTTAAAAAACAACACATGGCCTGCTAGCACTTTATAGACTAACTAAATATGTTAGATGGTATCATGAGCTTTTGTGGGCACAGCCCACTTATTCAGAAGACTATGATACCATCTACATGTTTTGTTAATCTAAAAGTACTACCAGAGGGTTTGTTGTTTTTTTAGTGTACCATGAAAGATAGAATCTCACCAGAGGTGAAAGAAGGTCAATATGGCATAGTGGTAAGAAGTGACTGCTGGTACCAGCCTGTACACAGCCTGCGTTAAAATGCTACTGCTGCCCCTCAGTGGTGGCCCTGCTGGTAGGTGAAGCAAAATAGGGTTTGACCAGCACTGCTGCAGCAGCACTTAACATTGCTGCCCCATTTTGCTACCCTAGGGTTGCCAGTGGTGGGGGGAGGAGAGAGAAAATGATCAGCTGTTAGTGATTTAAAATGCCTTCTTGGGCTTGCAGTAGTGACTGGTGCCCCAGGCCCTTTCAATCACACTAGAATCCCTGGCAGGCAGGGATCCTCTTCTGCCCAAGGTCCTGCCCCTGCTGTAAGATTTTAAAACTACTTTTAACTCTGTAACTTGCTCATCTTGCTTCTCAGTTGGATAAGAGATGACATTGATAGAAACTTCATCAAGGTATTCAAATAGCAACAAGAGCAGCCCTCTTAGTGCTAGTTACTAAAGCCGCATCATTGCTTCCCAGAAGATCAACATTGAGGTGGTCGATTTTCTGGAGTTCGATTTAGTGGGTCTAGTAAAGACCAACGAAATTGAACACTGAGCGTGCCCCATCAGTGCCTTCTCCTTGAATCATGAGAAGTAAGGGAAGTTGACAGGAGCATTTGTTTCTGTCAACCTCCCACTGTGGAGATGGTGCCAAAGTTTGAATTAAGGTACATCTACTCCAGCTATCAATTATTGTAGCTGGAGTTGCATATCTTAATTAACATTTCTGCGTAAATATAGACATGGCATAAGGAGTTGCTAGCCTTTCCTTCCAGGTGTGAAGCTGATCAGAGCAGCACACACCTTTAAGTGCAGTAATAATCAGGGACAAAAAATGAAGGGCTGTGTCTACATTGACATGAATTTCCGGAACTGTTTAAAACGGAATACCGTTCCATTTTCAGTTTTTCTGGAAAAGGAGCGTCTACATTGGCAGGCTGCTTTTCCGGAAAAGCGTCTGTGGCCAATGTAGACGCGCTTTTCTGGAAAAGAGCCCCGATCACCATTTTCGCGATCGGGGCTTTTTTCCAGAAAAGACTACTGGGCTGTCTACACTGGCCCTTTTCCGGAACAGTGTTCCGGAATAAGGACTTATGCCCGAGCGGGAGCAGAATAGTTTTTCCGGAATAGCGGCTGATTTTGTACAGTAGAGCATCGTTGCTTTTCCGGAAATTCAAGGGCCAGTGTAGACAGCTCGCAGCTTATTCCGGAAAAGCGGCTGATTTTCCGGAATAAGTGGCCCAGTGTAGACACAGCCAAGGTGTTTATCAGCGGTGAGAAATTGTGCTCTGGAGCCTGCCCATCTTTTCAGAGAACTGGTGATTAGAACACACTTAAGGAGTTTGGGATTCATCATGCTTGTTAATGATAGTTTTGTACTTGAATCTAGCCTGATTTTTTTTTTTTTTAATATCCATCCCCATACCTACTGATTTCTAGGGCGTGTGGCTTTGGGGAACATTCTATTGATTATTTATATATATATTTTTTACTTAACAGAAGTGAAGGTGAAACACGAATGAAATAACACTGACTTTTAGATATAATGTAAAGTGACCCCATGTTCAAGAGAATTATAATCTAAAAATCTCAAAACAATATATTGTGTATTTAAATTTGCTACTGAAGATAGAAATACTTTTTCCTTGGTTTGTCCTTTAATGACTGCTGTATAAAAAGTACTATCAATCAAATTGCCAAGTGTGATAATATGGAGACAGTCACTTTATGTAGGCAGATAACAATATTTGTGGTTGGGGTGATGTTTGGGGAAAATGAAGGCAATTTTGTGGGAGTAAAAATTGTTCAAACCGGCAACAATGTTTTTTTCTTTATGGAAGCAACAAGATTGGTGTTATGAATCTAACCACCAAAACACAAATCACTTCATAAAAATGTGTAATGCAACATAAAATAAACTGTGAAAAGTAAAGCATACAGAAGCAAAAATAATGGAGGTTTTGTCCTAAACAGATACATAATCTAGTTGATTTAGTTTCTGACTCTTGGAGTATTTATGCTGTATTAACGAAATCAGAGTGCAGGGAATTATTTACTATGTTTCCTGTCAGCCACTTGAATGACAGCTTGTGTGGCAAGGATAGAGAAAAAACTACTTACAGAATTTATTTTTTTTCTAAAGTTTCACCTTTTAAGGCAGTATGTTTGTCTATGTGTCTACTGGTTTTATGGCGGTCACACTAATGACCCTAGGACTGACATTGGCCAAAGCTAACTCAGGTTAAGTGATTGTTACTCCTGCAAATTTGATAAATTACAAGCTTTAGAATAACAATGTTATGAACAAGAGTACTACACAAGGTTTATTAAGATTTTCTTCTCTTTTCATCTCCTACCTCATCCCTTTTCCAAGAAAGTAAGCACGTGATTGGACAGTTAAACTCTGGTGTGGTCCAGATCAGATTTCTTGCATTTCAGGTCTTGTAGAAACATATAAATGTAGGACAGCTGGAAGGGACCTTAAGGGGGCATATGGTCTACAACTTCCTTGGTAACCTATTGTAGCCAGACACAACTTCCTTAACTTCCTACTATTTTCCTCACCCTTATCTAAAAGAATGCTTTAAATACCCCTAAATTATATTTTTTTCTGGTCCTATTGTGCATAGTCATCTATCTCCCATCCCCCCAGGCTCCTGATCTTTTCTTGAGCTCACACATGCTATATCATGATTCAACATCCTGATCTCATTTTTGTCTCCTTGCAAACTTCTTAAAATCAGCAGAAGTTCCCTCACATCTTAGTAGACCACATTGGGATCTTGTGTTTTGGTGAACAATTAGTCTTCAGCAGGTCCTTTGAACTTTAAAAAGCCAAGAGGAAAGCAAAGATACAAATCAAGCATGGAAGCTGGGAAAATAGGTGAAAACAACTGGCAGAGATTGAGGAGACTGAGCCAAAGAGAGCTCTTAAATTTCACAGCATTTCCTGCCTCTTGTCTCTCTCTGTTCCTGTTGTTCTTCAGTGGTTAATCAATGGGATGATTCATTGGGTAAAGATTAAACACTGCAGAAATAGTTGCAGAATCTGGCTATTAGATAGAAAGTATTCCTCAGAGAGTTGTTAAGGAAAGAAAATGTGAAATAGATACCAATGATGTGAATAGACAGAGGAATGTAAACAGCTCCAGAAGACTGGAAAGCTGTTACCTAATTTTAATTTTAAATATTGTGTATTTAAGCTGTACCTAATTTTAGATATTGTGAGCAAGTGTAGCTCAAGGTTGGAAAGCAGCTGGATCTGGTCATCAATGAATTCCCTGGAGTATGAGGAAGCTCTCAGCTGTCATAGATGAACTGCCTGTCTCGTGCTATTCTCTGTCCTAGTTTCCATGTATTGAGTAAGGAGGATCCATGACTGGAGCACAGCATGAACCAACTAGCTGGTGTGTAGCCCCTTTGGGATTGTGGAAAGCTCCCATAATTTAAAACAGCATTCCGGTTTTTACAGTGAGCAATTTCGCTGTGAGAATCAAGTAGCATCAACTGGCTCTCTCTTGTTCCTCTTCACTGTAGAAACTCAGTGTAGCCCAGAATCTGAACCCTGTTCCCTCACCTTTCAAATCATTGAACACTAAAACTGGAAGAAACCTCGAGAGGACATTGAGTACAGTCCCCTGCACTTATGGTAGGACTCAGTACTGTCTAGACCATCCCTGATAGATGTCTGTCAACCTGCTCTTAAATATCTCCAGAGATGGAGATTCCACAACCTCCCTAGGCAAGAACTTATTCCAGTGTTTCACCACCCTGACAGTTAGGAACTTTTTCCTAATGTCCAACTTAAACCTCCCTTGCTTCAGTTTAAGCGCATTGCTTCTTGTCCTAGATCATGATCCCACTCAAAGCACAGCAG